TCAGCTACTAGGTTTCTTTGAAGGTCATTTCTTGTTTTCTGTAGATTCATTGTTTTGTACAGTAGTTTGTTAATTCTTGGTGTTTTTTGTTTTAGACTATATTTTCCTGTATTCACCAATATTTTTCAGTCTTTAGTGTGGATGATTCTGTGTCAGTATGCATTTGAAATGATCTTGAAGCTTGAACTTCCTTATACCAACAGGCACTGTAATATCTTGAACAGTCAATAATATGAGCTCTTTCAGAGTTAAAACTTCTGCTTGATGCCTTGGAGAAATGTCTATTCTTAAAAACCTCAGAATTAAAAACCCAATAGAGACTTCAACAAAACATATGTATGAGATGAAACCTAGTATGCAACTAACAGAGAACTAACTAAAAGAATGAAGGAAACTGATCAATTTGGTTTCATCTAATCAGAATCATAAATACTGAATCAGTCTAGTGTCAATATAAACAAATATTTAAGCCCATTGCCAAAACAAAATGAAACAATATTAAAATAAGTACTTGTCCCAAGTAATTCACATACATAATTCTAGGTGCAATTATCATAAACATTTTGTAGATGAGCAGACTTGTCATGAGATAATTTAAGTGATTTGTCCAAGGTCACACAGCTAATAAGTATTTGAGGTGAGATTTGAACCTACATCTTCCTGATTCCAAGTAACATTTACTTCATGCTGCCATGTGATGATAGATAACTCATCCTATTTCCAAATGATTTGTATTTCATCTATTGCAGTTTTTTTTTTACATTTTGAAAACTTTTCATTCTATGTATTTGAGAGACTGAGTATTTCATAGAGTCAAACTGGTTAAACACATTGTTCCTAAATTTTATAAATCAGTGTTGTATCTAAAACATTTCTAAAAAGTTCTCCTTTAATGATTCTTCAGGCTCAGCACAGTTTATTTGTTGAAATTACCAGAATATTTTGAAGTTTATCTTTTTATTATGGACTTCTTATCAGTTTTTAAGGCCTGTGAGCAACTAGGTGGTGCAGTGTATAGAGCTGTGAGCCTGGAGTCAGAAAACCTGAGTTCAAATGCAGCCTCAGCCGTGTGACCCTGAACAAATCACTTAACCTCTGGCTTTCTCTTTCCTTAACCATAAAATGGGTATAATAATAGCCCTACTTTATCCCCTTACAAGGTTATTGTGATGGTCAAATGAAATAATATTTGCCAAGAGCTTAGCACAGTGGTTCTTAATAAATGCTTGATCCCTTCCCTACTCCCTTGAATTCTAGTCACATAATCATATCATTTATAATATCCAGTAGATGCTAAATTGGGGCAGCTATGACAGGGTGGATAAAGCACTGGACCTGGAGTCAGAAGGATTTATCTTCTGACCTCAGACATTTCCTAGCTGTGTGACCCTGAGCAAGTCACTATACCCTGCTGACCTCAGTTGTAAAATGAGCTGGAGAAGGAAATGACCAACCGCTCCAGTATCTTTGCCAAAAAGCTTCTCAAATGGGGTCCTGAAGAGTCAGATATGACTAAAACAACTGAACAACAACAAAGATGCTAAATTTTTGTAACCTGCAGTGATGTTGCACAGTTCCCGCTATTTTATTGCACAGTCTTTACCAATCAATGTGTCTGGGCTTTTGTGAATAATCCTTCTATAACTTCCAGTGGCAATGACCTGATCCTGAATAGGTATCATAATCTCTTCGATTTTTGTAAATAAATCCACATGGCTCAGTCATTTGTTTGATGCTTTATTTGTCAAGATATTGTTGGTTGAGTTCATGTAGATGTTTTTTGTGTGTGCCTTTTAATTCTACTCTTGAATAGCTCTTATATAAGCTGTCTTTAGAGATAAACCACTTCCAGTTATACTCAACACATTCAGTAGCATATAGCTGCTGTTGTCTTTTAACATTGTGTTTTGAATTTGAACTAAGGTATTTTTGTTCCTTCCAAAACAAATTTACTTCTGTAAGTTTTTAACCTATTTATCATGTGCTCTAAGAATATCTGTCACTCTTCTTCATCATTATCATTAGAATGATATTATCTGAGGAATAGGGATAATAACTGCCTTACCTCCCTCACACTATTTTTGTAAGGTTCTACTGAAGCAATGTATGTGAAGGTACTTTCTAAAGGTACTATGTAAATGAGAAGAAACCATTATTCTCTGGATAACTTTATAACTAATATTACACATGCAACTACCTTCTTTCAATGAACATAATGTATTTTGATCAACTCAGAAAGATGAACTTTTTAAAACTTGAAGAATACCAATATTTGAAGGAAATAATCACCAACACTGAAAGTTTGAAAGATTTTGGATTATAGCATACAGAAAAAGAGTACTGGATTTGTAAACTGAAGACATGGATTCAAAACTCATTTATGCTACTTGGCTTAGTGACCTCTGGCAAGAAAATTCAGTTCTCTGTCCTTGGTTTGTTTGTGTGTTTGTTTTTCATCTGTTCATTTGTTTTCATCTGCAACATGACTGGATTGGACTGGATGACATTTTAGGTTCCTTCTATTTCCTAATCATGCGAGCCTATGATTTTATAGATTTGGGTGCCCCTGAAATAAATCAGAAACCTATACCTACTCCCAGTTCTTGAACTGTAGATGCTGAAAAAATTGTCCACCTGTGTATACATTCTGATGATTACTCTCTCTAAATTTAACTTGGGTATTTATTCTAGTTAAACCAACACTCAATTAACTGCCAGATCCATACTATGCACTTTTGCAGCATATTCAGACCAACTATAGATTGCACTGTGTTGGTTTAAGTTTCAATAACCCAGAGTCTCATCCAATTCACAGTGAAGCATTAGAGAAGGCTTTTCGTGTAAGGATATTTGAGAAAATTTCCTCCTTCTGTGCAACAATAGGAACCTTCCAAATTCTGAGCTACACTCCTAAGCAGAATGTCAGATAAAAAATTAACAACAACAATAATATGATAATAATAATCATCATCATAGCAATAGCTTACTTTTATGTTGAGTTTTATGGCTGCAAAAAATTTACATGTATTACCTCATTTGAATTTGATCCCTACAACAAAACCTGCGAGACAAGTAGCATTATTCCCATTTAACAGATCAGGAGACTGGGTTACAGAAAGATTAAATGACTTACCCATGGTCACTCAGTTAGTAAGTGACAAAAGACAAACTGAAACCATTATTATATAATTCTAAGACTTTTCACTATATTGCTGTTCTAATTTGAGAAGGTAGAAAAATGCAAGAGGGATCAAAATACAAGCATATTTCATAACCCAACCTTGATTATGAAAGTCAAACCAAACCAATAATTATTACACAGTTATCTAATTAGGAAACAGTGAGTGAAGGTCAAATAAAAAAGTTTACTTTCTCTCTATCTTTCTTTTTTAACCTTGATAATTCATATGACCTCACTATGCCAGGGCATCTGGGCAGCTAGGTGGCAAAGTGGATAGAGTGCTAGGCTTGGTGTAAGGAAGACTCCTCTTCCTGAGCTTAAATCCAGCCTCAAACACCTCAGACAAATGACCTGGAGAAGGAAATGGCAAACCACTCCAGTATCTTTGCCATGTATTTTTTCCAAATGGGGTCACAAAGAGTTGGACACAACTAAAATTACTCAACAACAGCAACAATAACATGCCAGTTGTCTTCTCCACCAAATGGAAATTTAAAAAAAAAAGCATTGTGGCTATCTCAAAAAATTGATTGTGACTCAAGTGATGGACAGTATATAACCAGTTTAGGTAAATTCAGAAAAGCTCATCATTTGAAGTTCACTGGTTGGTCATCAGATTAAATTTTGGTCATAGGAACTTACAAGGACTATGGTCTGAGGGGCTGAGGTATTGTAACCTATATCAATAGAAGGATTAGTCACACCAGGAAAACCACAGAATTATGATGTTCTGAAGTTCAACCAAGCTACTTAGTAGATTTCATGGTTTTGACAATGGAACCATTCTGAAATATTTCACACAACACTATTATCACAACTAAAAATAAAGTATTTAATTAAAGAGTGTTTATTTTGTAATGACATCCCAATTTTCTTACTGATCATACTTCTGGCTCAACTAAATAAAACTTCAAGGAGGAAAGAAACTTTTTGAGATTTTCTACAATCAGTGTACTATGACATGTAAGCGATGATTTCCTGCAATTATATTTTTATAATCTTATTATAGCAATACTTTTAGAGGAAACAAAAATGCTTGCATCAGAGTCATTTCCAGGCAGCAAAGAATCACTTTTCTGATATCAATCCTTGTGGCAGTTGTCAAAATTCCTGCCCTGGAATCAAAGTTAACTTTATCACAATATAATATTTTAGGAAATTCTAAATAGTTTAGGGGTACAAAGGTATAACCATATGAAAATGAATCCATTAGGGGATGTGAAGAATGAAAAAATTAGTATTGAATTGAATTGCTATTTGTAGTTTCAGTGCTTCAATACAGGTCTTTGGGTTGTGATATGAATTAAAATTTCATATTGCTTCTGAAAACAAGGCTAACCAAGAAAAGTTAGATGGAGGTGAAAATAAAAGCAGAGAAAAAATCTTCAAGATGTTCAAGAGTAGCTTTTCTCATAGTAAAAACAAATATCCAGTGACTGTTTAAAGCTAAGAGCAAAATAATTATGTTTTATCACCATGACTTACTACTTGTCACTACATTTCATTATCTATTATTCAATATTGATGACTTTTGGCATTTCATAAGTTTCCTAACTACAGGCAAAGAATTATTTCCAAGTACTTTACAAATGCAAAATTTCTTCATAGCAGAACCACTGTAGACAAATTCTAATGACAAAGATTTAAAAGAATCCCAAAGCAGAGGAGTAAGTATCTCAGACCTAAAGTTTGAGAAATCTGAAGGCAGTCCACTGGTTACAGAACTACAATCTCACATAGTAATTGAAATGACTGCAAAATAATTCATTCATAATTTCAAACAAGGGGCTGGAAAATATGTGAACCAAATTCTACTGACCTTTTTTTGCTAGGGAATTGTTAGGTTCATACTTCTCAATCAGCACTTGGACTTGCTCCTGTTTTAAGGGTGGATAAAGTATTTCATTGAGCCGGGGATCTCGTTGCTTTAAATTGATAAATTCCATCATTTGATCAACAGTAAGATATGGTCTACTCTTGGCACCACTAAAAATAGGTAAAAGGAAAAAAAAAGAAATTACATTGTTTTTCAGTAAGTCATGTTTAATCAATCAACAAAAATTTATTAAGTACTCTCTAATTGCCAGGAACTATTCAGATTATATCACAGAGAAAATCTGTTCAGGCCTTGTAAGATCAAAGTGGTCTTATAAAAAAACAAAACATTCACATTGCCCCAGCTAGGTTTTGTTTAGGCTTCAAAGTATAATTATGCATTGTAAAATCTTCTAAAGTGATTATCACTGAATTGGCATGCCTAAGAAAAATACCAACCATTGGCAAAAAATGTTTATGATTCATGCTGCCATATATTCAAAAGGAAAAACTCCTTTAAGGAGGAAATAGAAGCATAAGTATGGTTTACACAGTGCACTTAAAGTTCTGGCTGAATTACCAACTTCCCGTATCTAACTTATTTCCATAAGGATGTGTCTATTTATGGCAACTGAAAAAGTGAGCAAATTCTGTCTTGTTTTTCCTCCTCTTATAAGGGGAATTATAAACATCAACAAATATCTAAAGCTCTGCACTTCCTAAATAGGAAGATCATCATCTCCTTAAGGACAGATTATAGTTGATGTAAATAATCCTCTTAGTATCATAGGGCCCAATTCCATAACATGTGCCCTATGGACACTCATTTAATGTTTGATGGTAAGAAATTCCAAAAATAAAAAGCCAGGTGCTCCAAGTATGTAATATCATAATCATGAGTACCAAATATCTTCCCTTTGTGAAGATACAGTTATCCTTTCTGTCCTTTTAAATTAACTAATTATGTAGAGTTTAATATCAGACAATATAAAATTACTATTTTCCTACTATTACATAAGTTGCTTTTCTTATACAGTTTTCTTTTTTAAAATGAGTATGTGGGTTTATTACTGGTGTAATAAAGGATGGAGAATGCTTATGATTTTAATAGATTCTAACACAAGTTTTATTGTTCACAGTTTCACCAAGATAAAGTTGCTGCTCTTTGAAAAATTATCTAGAACTTAAGGCAGGGGTGAAGGGAGGGGTCTGATGCCTACCTATGGTACTTTCTTTAGGCAGAGAGCAAGAACTAGAAGAGGGAGGTAGTATCTGTGTGAAACAACCAATTAGATACAAGGCACCTGGAAAATGGAAATTCAGGTTCTAGAACATTGTCCAATAAACCTCAAATCCTCCTGTATCAGAACTATGGGCAAACCCCAGTTTATAGAGAAGTATCCACTAAGAGCAGAGGCAATCTTCATCTCCTACTAAAAATAGAATCATAGAATTTAATAGCTAAAAACAGTCTTAAAACTTTGCTGTTTAGTCCCCTCATTTTACAGATGAGGAAATTAATATTGAGATTAGATCACATTGATGATTAGTGACTCAGATGATACCAGTATCCATTTGTAAGCATCCCCAACCCACCATTCTTTCTCCTACATCACATCTCCTTTCTCTCCATGATGTTAAAACCATAAAGCATTACATTAAAAGAAAACAACACTTACACCTAGCAATGAATGTCAGGTAATAAACCTCTGCCACTTAAACTAATGGATATTCCTATGGGATAAAAGTATGTGATCAATTAATGCACATTAATCTATTCTCATAGAGCTATGTGCTTTTCCTAAACTCAGATACTCAACATAGCATTATTAAATGAGAAAAAAACAGAACAAATTTAAAAGAATCCCTTACAATTCAGAAAAGATGTTATCAATTTCAGGTCGAGGGCAAAGGTTATTTAAAAACACTCTGTATACTTCTGGAGTGAAGTCCTCTTGAGGTATTGAATCATTCTGAGAAAGAAAAAAAAAAGAAACAAATCAAAATAAGAATTCTTTTTAAAGCCAGGGTGAACATGATGAACACGTCTGTGAAACAAATCATTTATTGTATCCTGTACATTACTGGGAGTAAGACTGTCCCTTGTTAGTCACTGGATGAATGTAGCTACTACTAGAATAAAATATGTTCACCAAAGAACTGACGGGTACAGTAGACACACCAACAGCTACATGGAAACACTCACTCAAATTTCACTATATATAAAATTTGGCAAACTCATAATAGGTACTGTTTGATCAATTGTCAATTAAGTTTTATGAATAAGAAAAGACTTTATCACGGAATACTTCTGACCTTGATTGTTTAGGAAATAAGTAGCTAGTGTAGGAAACAGTTTTTCTAATTTATTTCACTGTTTTTCTGTGTTACCGTGCAAACCGGAAGCAGGCATTCAAGCCTTTGTTAATAGGAAGGGCAATTTTTCATAACCTTTCCTGTTTCAGGTACATGTGTTATATTTATTTTCATCTTCAAGCCAGTTTAACTGGGAAGAAAGAATTCTTTCCCCTTATATTTGTATTAGTTTTGAAATATGCATTATTTCAATGCCTAAAATTTATCATAAAGTAGTTCTTAACACATTGGCCATAAAGTCATAGCAGAATGCATAGTTCATTGTCAATTAGTAGAAGCTCAATAATTATTTGTGGAATAAATGAAATATTTAGGAACCATTTTCTCCAGATGGTATCATAGTGAATAAGAGAATAATTTTTTTCTATAGAAAAGTCTGAAGAATTTTAGTTAACTACATTAGAAACCACAAAGAAGGGACAGGTACTAAGAAACATTATGTCTTAGATAACTGAGGACCAATTTTGAAATCATGAAACCAAGAACTTAAACCAAGGATATATGGAAGATGCACTTGAGACCTTTGAATCACCTTGCTGGCCTACTTCATTATGTATAAAATGACAAAGATAACTAAAATCTTTTACTCTTTACATTTATTAAATTTTTCCATCTGATTAGGTTAAAAATCCTCATTTATCAATGTCAACCTCTCAATAATTTAGCTGATTGATTCAGAAATTACTTCACAGATAGATGACATAATTTCCAACCTTTTTTCTTCTCTGGGCATGGCCAAATGAGGTACATGGTTTATTCAATGATTTTTCTACAGTAATCTTGCTAAAGAGATTGTATATCTAGCAAGGCTATTTTTATGGATAAAACTCACTTCTTGTTTACCCTTTTGCCAATCAAGTGAAGGTTTTTAAAAGATGGAGGAGAACTAATCATGTTTGTAGGTGGCACAGATTAATAGATTGTAAAAGATTAAAGAGAGAGACAGAAAGAGACATAGACAGAGAAGGAGACAAAGGCAAGATACTGGTGATGATGGTGATGATGACGACACTGATGATATGTGGGGGGGATGATAATCTGATAGAAGAAGGGAGAGAAGGTGAGATCAAGGGTACAGACAGAGGAGCTAGCACAACGTTATCTTTTCATCACAGAAGAAAGGAGGATATTTGAAAGAGGGATGATGTGATGATACGTAAAGTAGAACAGGGAAGAGAGATCATGACAATTTACCTCTATTTTCTCATTAAAATACAAGGGATGATGCATGAGGGGCAGCTAGGTAGTGCAGTGGATAGAGTGCCAAGCCTGAAGTCAGGAAGATCTGAGTTCAAATCTAGCCTCAGACGCTAGCTGTGAGACCCTGGGCAGGTCACTTAACTTTGTTTGCTTCATTTTCTTCATCTATAAAATGAGCTGGAGAAGGATATGGCAAACCACTCCAGTATCTTGGCCAAGAAAACCCCAGTATTCTTTGGCAAGATTACTCTAGAAAAATCATTGAATAAACCAATAAAAAAAGGTTGGAAATTATATCATGTACATGACTGAAATGACTGAACAACAACAAATAAGCTTGAGGAGAAAAAAAAAAGATACTGGAGTGGTTTGCCATTTCTTTCTCCAGCTCATTTTACAGATGAAGAAAATGAAGAAAACAAGGTTAAATTACTTGCCCAGATCACACAGTTAATAAGTGTCTGAGGCCAGATTTGAATTCAGGAAGATGAATCTTCCTGTCTCCAGGTCTGGGCTCTGTCCAGTGCACCACCTCACTGTCTGGTTAAGATTAGATAAAAAAAAATTTGTAAGGGACCTAGTCAGCATGGTTGTTTAACTTCCTCCAGAATGATTAAGCAGAAGTAGAGGAGTATGATAGTGGGAATAATACTGAGTTGATACTTGGAAAGGGATGAGTGATGAAAGCATAAAGTGGGGGAAGTGATTTGGAAAGGAAGAAATAGGAGACAGAGTAGGCAGGGTATAGTACTGATGGCAAGTGGGACTGGAGGTCATAGTAAGGGCATGTGATAAGTTTAGAAGGAATAAGACAAAGGAGAAAATGGACTGATAAGAAATTACAGCCAGGCAAAGTAATTTCAGAAGTCTCGATCATAGAAGTGTAACACTTTGAGTGACAGTGAGATCAAAGATGCGACCATCCTTGTGTGTGGCTAAATTGAAGTTAAGGTGCACGTCATGGGAGTGAATGAGCCTGAAGAACTGAAAAGGCAGAATGGAATGAGGGAAAAATCAAAATATATATATTGGAGTCTTCTTGTATCAGGGTTGGTATGAAGGGAAAGACTATGGATGGTCTAGGTACTGAACTTTTTGAGAAAGGAGGGCAAATGACTTGGAGCAGGGCTTGGATTGGGTGACATATCTGGATAGAACAAATCTCAAAGGTGGGGAGGGGTTACTGAGTGATGGCAGCAGAGAGAGAATCTCACAACAGCAGCGGACAGCAAAGAGTACACCGAGTTCTCTCCTATTGTGTACCAAGGGACACGATAAAGCCAAAACCAATAGTGGAAGGGATGACCCAGGGAACAGTATCTTATATGGGAGAGTCAGGTCTCTATGAGTGCCAAAATATGAAAGGAGCAAAAGTCTAAACTAAAGGGAAATTTATTAATGACAGAATGAGGATTCAAGATGTTGGAATAAAAAGGAAGGCAGAGATGATATGGAACATAAGAGAGGTAGGAATGAGTTGGATGGAGATGGGAGAACATGAAATCATCAGAGGGGAGATAGATGGATTCAGCTTAGGCAGCCTGGAATTCTGTATCACTCAGATTAGAAAAGTAAAAGGTAAGGAGTTACTAGGTGTAGAGGATTTAATATCTTCATACTAGAGCTCACATCATCAAGAATCCTGTGACAGATAGACATGCATCAGTTCTCCTTCAAGTGTAAAGGTGCAGGTGCTGGGTTAGATCACAGAGGGGAGGTCTCAATGTCAGAAGTTTAGATACTGAGCTGAGTCTGGGAAGGTATGATAAGTGATCTGAGAGCAGGAACCTAAAGTCAAAGTTTATAAAGGGCACAGCTTTGATGGATGTAGTCCAAGCAGAATTATGGGGGATCTTGTACCTGATGAAGGACTTGAGCCAGACATTGGGGCTGCCCCAAATAGTCCCCCAAACTCCATGCAAGTCTGAAAAGTTGTTATCTTCTGGTTATTACATACTTCTTCTGGGCTTGTTCCGTGCTGGTCAAGTGGTTTCCTCTGAATACTGCTTCACTGGATATAGTTTTCAGTTATCTCAGACACTGTAGGATCATCAATATCTTCTGACAATGTCATAAAGCTACTCTCATTGGACTTTCTTTGGTGGAATCAATGCTCTACTGGATTCCACTAATCATGAAGACTGTTAAGACTAAGCTTATATTCAGTGAGCTCTGTTGGTTTTGTGGCAACCACTGGGCACATATTCACAAGAGTTGCTCTGGCAGTTGCAATGGGGCCAGTATCTGCTGGGTGTTGCTCCCTGGCTTATCTCTTCAGGGCTTCCTATTCTAATCAATAAATTTTTCCCACAGGAGGTGACAGCTGAGTTGAACCTTAAGGAAGCCTATAAATTCTAAGAGGAAAAGAAGTAGAAGAAGTGAATTCCAGTAATGGGAGATGGTCTGGGCCAGATAGAGATAGGAATGGTGTTCCATGACAGAAAGGGCAGGAAAAGCAAAAACAAAAACAACAACAACAACAAAACCTTTTATTTGATTTTGTGGAGGCACTGTGTGTCAAGTTTTCAGAAAGACTATGTGAACATGCTAAACTCACACATTCCAGCAGAGAATGGACGATGGTGATTCCTAGAGCAGGGAATGGGTGAGTACTACAGGCAGGCAGTAGGGATAGGGCAAGATAAAGAAACAGTAGAAGATGCTCAAGAAAGAATCTGTGGGTGACAGATTAGATTTGTTAACCTAATGTTAAACAATGACAATGAGTAGGCACTCTACTGTGTACATGAGACATGGAGCTATTATCAACTTTTCTATCTCTGACAAGTCTTTGAATTATGGTTTCTTGGTAAATTCAATGAATATAATCTGTTTTTAACTACTTCTTTAAATGAAGTTAAAAAATGAAGCTAAATGAGATAGTTTAAAAGTGAAATGTTAATAAGAAATATAATACTGTGTGTGGTATTGAACTACAATTTGGATGTTGTACCAAATAGGATTTTTTTCTTTGGAAGAAACATGTAATTTCAAAAGTTACAATAATTACTTTGAAATGTTCATTGATCCATGGTGAAAACAGAATATGGGAACAGGGAACACACTCTCAGTTGACCTGGAGGTGGCAGTTTAATACAACTTTCAATTTTGTAATATTAAAGTCTTTGCAGCTAAAAAAAAAAAAATGAGTTTTCCTCCCTTTAGAAAATGGAGGCCCATCAGCCTAAGTAAGATTTTTTTAAAAATGTATTAAAGTATTTGTGTACTTGGGAGAAGCAGAGAGGTTTATAGACAGCCAGGCTTAGAGTCAGGAAGATCACAGTTCAAAGCCTGCATCTGACACATACAGTGCAGGAACTTAGGGGAGATCATGTAACGCCTCAGTGGTCCAGGCCTCTCTCTAGGGCTATAAATCACAAAAGGGCTACTGGTCTGT